TTATTAGTGTGCGAAGAAAAATGCAAAAGCTTAATAATGAATATCCATACTTTTGTATTCATAATTTGTGTGAAAAATGATACACTACCTGACAAAAGTCTTTTTGTCTATCCCAGTTCTAAAAGCAACAAGTAAAAACTTGACTGCTAGTTGGTCATTTGATCATTTGTTGAACTGAATCCCAGTCATTACAAATACTGCAGAAGACCTATTGGAACCCGCATGAACCTACTATTCGAAATCAGTCAGGTTTGGGGAAGGAAAAATCATGAATTGGGCTTACAGTACACTGTTAACCCTTACTGTAGATTATGCAGTAAATAACTGTAAAATAGCCAGTGTTTAGCTGTAATGAAAAGAAACAGTATTTTACTGTAAAAGGAGCAGGATTCGTATGAAATTCTGTAGTGCAAAGAATAAATTACAGTAATTTACTCTATGTACCATTACAGATATTTACTGTGATAATAAATGGTAAATTACTGTTCAACCATTACTGCCCCATCTACTCTAATGCTTTATGTTCCTATTTTATATTTATTTTATCTCTGTGTTTTCTTTGGTTCCTTTTATGTTTTTAACATTGAGTATCAGGAGTCAACCAATGCCACAGAGCTTATTAAAAGGTAATTGTAAGATATGGACGAAATGCATTTAAAGGCAAAAATATTCACACAGAGCAAAGAAATTGTCACAATAATTTTTATAACTTTGTTTACTTTTTCTATAATTAATCTAATTTAATTGCCTAGTTTGACCTATAGCTAAGATTTTAAATTGCACTTTCAACTGAATATTATTATTTTGCTAAATAACTAGTAAAAATGTGTTATTTAAAAAAAAAAATATATATATATATATATATCTTAAACAACACGCACATACATTTTTGCAGAGACTCAATGAATTTGTCTGGAAAACTGGCAAGTAAAAGTCCCATTAACAGTATAAAGGCTTTCCTAAATAAATGTATAAATCATGATATTTGTTGTGTTTTTTATTATTACTACAGATTTGGAACGACATGAGAATCAGATTATTTATTTATTTATTTTTTTCTATGGATGAAGTTTATATTATAGTATATTTTTATTGTTTTTATTAAACGATATGTGCATAACTGTGATAAATGTAGGCAGTTGCTTTGAAAATATGCTATGTACCAGGGGTGTCAAACTCCTGGAAGGCCACAGCCTAGTAGAATTTAGTTCCAGCCCTGCTTCAACACACTACCTTTAGATTTAGTTTGATCAGGTGTGTTTAATTTGTATATCTGCACTGTTACTCTGTAGATTGTGCAGTAAATAACTGTAAAAAACAATGATTTAGGCATCACCACACACTCCCACAGGCTGTCTGTCTTATTCTAAACACAAAGGTGTTAGAAAGAGTTTTCAGAAAATGCTGGCCCTTTAAGAGAGCCAGGTGTTTGATTTGTTTACTGCTGAGTGTGCTCTATTCTCTGTCTATCAATTCAGATGTTGAGTCTGATATGTTTTAGGCTTTAAATAAGAATCTAAAATGAGTAAGTAAAATGTGTTCACATGTTTTTGTGGGTTTCTAAAATAAGGCTGTGTTTTAAGTTATGTTGTTGTTATCTTGAACTGTGTACTTGAAAGCTACATTGTTAGCTAGTTAGCCTCTCCTCATATAACTTCTTACATTACTTTTGTTTAAGTATATGTATTTATTGGATATTGCATACTGCCATAATGTACAGATACTAACAGTTGTATGTATCTTTCTGGCAACTAAGCCAAAATTAAATTCCATCATCTCAGTAAGGTAACATGTGCTCATCATCACAGGGAATTACAAAAACATGATACACATAGCCATCCACACACAAAAGCTCCACTGTCCGGTCCCAGGTTGTGAGTTTGTTGCCAAGTATTTTTCAGAGCAGTGTTTCCACCTTTGAATTTATATTTGAAAAAATAAAAAAGTTTGTTGTCATGAGATAATTATAACAATAAAAGATTGGATCCTTTGGTTTTTCGGTGTTGCCAACTTTATTTTTGTTTTCTATAATTATTTTAAACTTTTTGAGATTTGACAGAGCTGTTAATTATTTAAAACTTTAAAATTTAAAATAATTATTTTGTGTTTTTTGCTGTTCAGTTTTTTTTTTTTTTTTGCATGGTCAGCATTGAGGAGAGAGTAACACATTTCACTGCAGCACTTTGTGTGTGTGTGTGTTTATTGGATATGTGATTGTGATAAATGTTAGCAGGTGCTTTAAAAGTATGCTATATACCAGGCGTGCTTAATCTTGTTCCTGGAGATCTACGTTCCTGCAGATTTCAGTTGCTATCCATATCAAACACACCTAAACCAATTAATTAGGACCTGAACACCACCCTGCTTCAACATTACCTGTAGATTTCTAACGAGCCTTAATTAGTTTTATCAGGTGTGTTTAATTAGTTACAGCTTAAAGTCCCGGTCACACTGCACTTTTCTCCCTATAGACTTCCATTCATACGCATGTGAATGCTGCAGACCTGGAATGCATGGGACAAATTTTACAGTTTGCAGCATTGGAAAGTTCAAGCTTGAAGAACTCTGAACTGCAAAATCACATCATGTGATTGCTTGAGACTAATCAAAGATCAAACCATGACCTCACTGAACAAAAATTATGGACCAGTTGCTTGCTTTTTCAATCTCTTAATATTTTGTTTAGTCCCACTCCTTTTCGCAGAGCCATATGACATATGCATTTTGCATGCTTAAACGTTAGTTTCACTGAATCCTTGCTGTGCAGACCTGTGGCTCTCAGTAATATGTAAGATGATATTTATATCTGCTGACATCTTAATTTTGCTATACATTTTCTGTTTTATATTTGTTTGCTGCCAAAACAATAAAATAAATTTGTCAGAATTTACAACTTAATTAATTTAAAGAATTAATAACAGGTAAGAATACTAATTAATTTTAGTAACACCTTGACATACTATTGTGTATGCAGTATAATGCTGTGAGTTGTAACACTACAGTACAGTAATTAACTGTACACAGTTTCCAGTTAGTTACCACTATTGCTCTATTACAGTAATTAACTGGCAACACTGTTGCCAGCTACTCACTGCAATGGTTTGGTTACAGTAAACAACTGGCAACACTGTTGCCAGCCACTCACTGTAATGGTTCAGTTTCAGTAATTAACTGGCAACACTGTTGCCAGTTACTTACCTTAACCAAACTTTTACTGTGAGAAGCTGGCAACAGTGTTGCCAGTATTCTACTGTAAAAAAGCCTGGTAAGGTCTAACAGTGTACATTCAGTTTGGGAGCATGCAAGAGATCTGCAGAGTGGATGGCAACATTAAAAGCCTGAGGCATCAAGACAATTGTGCTGCCCATTACAATAAAAACCACAGGAGAGGGCAAATTCTTTAGCAGGATAGTGCTCGTTCTCATACTTGAGCCTCAACATCAAAGTTCCTGAAAGCAAAGAAGGTCAAGGTGCAAGCCCAGTCACCAAATGCGTGAATATTATTGACCATGTCTTGGGTAAGATGGAAGAGGCATTGAAGATGAATCGAAAAAGTCTTGATGAACTCTGGAAGTCCTGCAAGAACGCTTTCTTTTCCATTCCAGATGACTTTATTAATAAGTTATGTGAGTTATTGCAGAGATGTATGCAGTCGTCAAACTTATGTAAGTCATACACAATATACTTTTTTTTTTTTTTTTTTTTACTTTATATTCTATACTGTACATTATTTCTGTTAAATAACAAGACTTTTGTCTAAACAAATTTAGACCTTACTGTGTAAAAATTTTATTTTGGTAAAATAAGCATAATCTAAAGGCATTAGTCTTTCATATCAGCCAATTCTGAAACCAAATGATCAAATAGAAGTCAAGTTATTATTTGTTGCTCCTAAAATGTAGATAGACAGCAAGACTTTTGTTAGGTAGTGTACAGTTATTGTTGTTTGCTATGATTTGAAACTGGTATGATTTGTTTGTGTATACCGGACCGGTTATGTTTGAATTTTGCTAATTATTTGTTTATGTTTTTAAGTTTTATTATGGGAGATGTTTAGTAGTTTGAGACAATATATTATGAAGGAAGCAGAACATATGACATGAGTCAGTAAAATAACAGAAGAGCTGTTGACTCAATTTCAGACCATAGTTTACAAGATCAGGCCAAACAATAAATAGTTTCTAACTGCTAAAAAATGCAAATAAAATCTATCTATCTATCTATCTATCTATCTATCTATCTATCTATCTATCTATCTATCTATCTATCTATCTATCTATCTATCTATCTATCTATCTATCTATCTATCTATCTATCTATCTATCTATCTATCTATCTATCTATCTATCTATCTATCTATCTATCTATCTATCTATCATCTATCTATCTATCTATCTATCTATCTATCTATCTATCTATCTATCTATCTATCTATCTATCTATCTATCTATCTATCTATCTATCTATCTATCTATCTATCTATCTATCTATCTATCTATCTATCATCTGCCTACCTACCTACCTGTCTACCTACAGTATCTAATGACTAATGTTGTTATATATGTATTATAAAATAGATAACATAACAATAGATAACATATAGTAACAATATTGTTGCAGTATTAGTCGTGCTCAATATTACAACAATTTTTAATCAGACAAACTGTATTTATCCTTGACAACTGCTCATCAAAAATCTTTAAATAAAAGCGGTATAGTTAAAGAAGAGGCCTTCAATGCTCAACCATTTCAAAGCATCCAGAAAGGTCTAAATAAATAGCGCCACAGTGTATTACAGTTAAAGAGACACTTTTCTGCCTGTAAGCTGTTTACTGTCTGCACACACCGCGCATCTGACAGGGTGGAAGTCTGTCTGTGGCAGTATTTCAAGCCTTATTACAGATATTGATTTGGAAGCAGAAAGGCAGTATTGTCATCCTAAAGAGGGTTGCCTGATTCCACTGGGCTGTGTGATTGACAGGGGAACTGATGTATTGCAGGTACATCCATTATGTTTTCGACTTGGGCAATGGGCCGTCGCTCATGAAGGGCAACTCCGACAAGCCGCTCAATGACAACCAGTGGCACAACGTGATGGTGTCCCGCGATGACAGCAACGTGCACACGCTCAAGATCGACTCGCGTACTGTCACGCAGCACTCCAATGGAGCCCGCAACCTGGACCTCAAAGGTATGCATATTCACCTATGTTCTCTTTATATTTACACATTACATTGAGTCAATGGAATGCGAATGGTTTGAGATGTGGTGTTAAGTAATGACACAAATAGCAGAAAATTGATTACATCATTCTTTTAATAACTGTTTTTGTAATGTAATTGTATATGCAATAAGGTCTGGTACTGAACAAAAAGGCTGCCAATGCCTTTTATTTGATTATTTTTGATTTCATGGTGGTTCAACATTTTTAGTAGTTCTTTTACCTCAAAAGAGTATTTGCACTGATGCTAGCTGAAAGATGACATAAAAGTGAAGATGCTATCCTTTTTGCTTATGCAGATACCCTTTAAAATCCGTATGACTGACTTTGTTCTGTGGAATGTAAAGGAAAGTCATTTAAAACTTAGTCCCGTTTTTTTGACCCTAGAATGTGCTGTAAGAAACCGATTATTCAGACATTTGGAAAAGCTTGTGGGTGAGAGCAACAGCTGAACTACCCTAACATTAGTTTTGTAATGCCAAAAAGGCAAGTAATTATTTAATTTTAATTATGTTTAATTTTTATATAACATGGGTTGTTTTTATCACATGGTTCTGATTACATTGAAAATTCAGATTGAGGGCAGGAAGTAAAAAACTAAATCGAAAACACAGAGAAAAGTTCACAATGCACCACAGTTTACACTAACGTTACAGTGTGTATTACAGTTTTTTAGTTTATCACAGTATTCTCTAACACAGAGTTGTACACATTATACACTTTACTATGTGGTTCAAAAACATGTTTATTATAAATTATTATAGTTTTTCCCCATGCCGATATCCTTCCAGGCATCACAAAATAACTGATAAAAGCATGCATAAGCATGGACGCATAGTCTACATTATTATTTAAGGGAGAAAAGTGCTCCACTAGATTTTGTCGCAAGTGTTGCATTTCTTTTTTTGTTCCGTCGATTAAGTTTGCTGCACATATAGACGTTAACTTTATGGTTGTTTATTCTGCTAAAACGGCAGCAAAGACTGACTTTGTTTCAAAACAAGACAGAGATTTCTTTGCAGCGATTACATGGCAGAGTACGCTATTTAAATTTTTATCTGGATTTTGTATAAGTGGTGGTGTTTTTATATGTGTTTATTTTATATAACACAATAACATATTTATACATTTAACGAGGCCTGTATAGAATATTTATTTGTGCTGTCAAACAAATTATCGTGTTCAAAAAAAGTTTGTACACATGGATGTATTGAAAAAATATTTATTGCACACCTCATTTTCTTCCTTTTTTCAGCCAGTTTTGAAAGTCTATAAAAGCTGTTCTGCAGTTCTTATTTTGCCCAATTTAAACAATTACAACTACATAAAACAGAAACATTTTGATGTTCTTATAGCGATTTCTATGTTGAAGAACCACTACCTGCCCCACCATCTGAATTTTGCGCGCCATCAATGACATCATGTAAAAACAACCTATATAATTATAAAATTATAAAGTGTATACATAATAGTGTTTCAATATTTTTACAGATCATTTATTGCAGCTCCAAAACAGTTTGGTCTTTTTTTTTAACAATAGTCTACAAAAGAAATATATTTATAAATGTTTAGGATGACACAAATGTAAGTGATGATAGAATTTTTGTTTTACAATTTTTATTTTTTATTATTATGATTGATAAAAAAATAAAATAAAAAATATATATATAATTTTGATAATAGTCTTAATAAGGTAATATTGTAGCCATTAATCGGTGGTAAATATCTACTAAGTGAATCATTCATTCATTTGTGTTTTTCAATAGACTGATTCATTCAGCAATGAAGTAAACATCTATTCATATGAATCATTGGTTCACCTTGCAGATCCATTCATAAAGAAAAAACACTGTTGCGTGTTTACAGAAAATGAGTTTTTTTGGCAAAAGTATGTTGGGATAAAACTGAGCACAACTAGACAACATTGTGTTCAAAATATGACACGGTTTTAAGTTTTACTGAACTGTTATATAGAATTTGGTCCTAAAACAGTCACTGTGTGATGCTTATCTCTATCATATTGTCCAAATATAACACACACAAAAAATACTTTGAGATTCAGGGCCATGTAGCTGCATTATATATCTGTTCCATATATTGTCCTTTAAATAAAATATGATTGATTTATTATAGCTAAAAATGTTAATCTTAAAAAAAAAGTTATTCAGTTGAGTGTAATTCAGTCTTTAAGATATGAACTATATTTTTTCGTCACTACTCTCACTGTGCTTATTAAGGCTCCATATTTCTTTTATCAAGCATTATCTCATTCTTAGACACGCTTAGATCCACATTTGCCGATTTACGTTCATCTTGGGTTTGATTTCAAACTCTGGCATTGAGCTTTAATGAGTATCTTTCCTGATAGGTATTTACACAGCTCGCAGCTCCTTGTTTAAACCATATTGCTTCTGAAATCTACCTTCTAGTACTTCTCACCATCGCTATCGTTTTCTGCTCCTTCGGCTGTAATTAGAAGAACAAAGAGCAGCGCCTACAGGGAAAGAGAAAAACAACAACAACACGCCACTGACTTTGCATAATTTTAGTGCTTCCAAATCTGCGTTTGCTTTCCTAAGCAGGTGCTGCTTGACTCTGGGCACAAAAAAAAAACATGTATATATATATATATTTTTAATATGAAATATAGAGTTGCTGAAGTTTGCCCTGCATGCTTGTTTTTTTTTAGAAACTTCTTTGGTTTGGTGGGTCAATCTTGTCAATGCTATTATTCCAAAAAGGTAATGATTTGCACTCAAGTAATTGCTTCGTACTGTTTTTATTTTTTCTTTCTCTTACATTCTACGGGTGATTAAAAGACACAGACGTTTCGGCACAATGCCTTCCTCAATATGAAATATAGAGAAATGAATCTCATGTGTATATTTTTTTCTTGGTGTATGCTGAAATAAACTATTTTGGTTTAAAAGACATCAACAGCTATTACAATAACTATACACTAAACATATGAATATTTATAAAATTTGTTAATGTTCATTAATATTTGTTTAATATTAATGATGATTAAGGTTTTAGGAATAATTTGATTTGTAAAACAAATAACAATTATATTATATTATATTATATTATATTATATTATATTATATTATATTATATTATATTATATTATATTATATTATATTATATTATATTATATAAACCCCAAATCAGAAAACGTTGGGACAGTATAGATAATGCCTATAAAAATTTCATGTTTTGTCTGGTCAACTTCATTTCATTTGTAAATATACATCCTTTCTTGTCATTCAGATCTGCAACACATTCCAAAAAAAAAAAAAAAAAGCTGGGACAGGAGCAATTTTGGGCTAGTAATCAGGTGAATAAGTTACTTGTTATTATGATTTGGTACAAAACCAGCATCTAAGAAAGGTCTAGTCCTTCAAGAGCATAGATGGGCAGAGTATTGCCAGTTTGCCAACAAATATGTGAGAAAAATTATTGAATTGTTAAAAAACAATGTTCCTCTATCAAAAAAATAAATGAATAAATAAAATAGGAAGACATTTGAATATTTCACCTTCATCAGTGCATAGCATCATTAAAAGATTCAAGGAATCTGGAGGACTCTCAGTGCCTAAAAAAACAAGGGCACAAGCCTACTTTTTTGTTAACTTTGTCAAGTACCACAATACGTAGTTACTTCCACCAGTGCCAGCGAAAACTGGACTGTGCCAAAAGAAAGCCCTAAGTTAACAGTGCCCAGAAACAATGTGTGGCACATTTTGAAGCACAAAATGTGACAATGAAGACATCATACTACTGCCCACCTTAAGTTTGCAGTAAGAATGGGACAAAATTACGCCTGAAACATTTCATCACTTCATGTCTTTAGTACCTAAATGTTTTTTAAGTGTTGTGAAAAGAAATGGCAACATTTCAAAGGGGTAAATGTTTTACTCTTCCAACGTTTTTTGAAATGTGTTGCAAGGACCAAAACTGGAATACATAAAAAATAAATAAATAAAAAATAGCGAGGAACAAATTAAATAATGTTTCTAATATTGTCAGCAATGAAATACAAGTCAAAGTAAATTTAAAAATCACTACTTTTTTTTGCATTTGCGTTTTCCATACTGTCCCAACTTTTTCTGATTTGAAGTTGTGTATTATATTATATTATATTATATTATATTATATTATATTATATTATATTATATTATATTATATTCATTCATTCATTTTCTTGTCAGTTTAGTCCCTTTATTAATCTGGGGTCGCCACAGCGGAATGAACCGCCAACTTATCCAGCAAGTTTTTATGCAGCGGATGCCCTTCCAGCCGCAACCCATCTCTGGGAAACATCCACACTCATTCACACACACACACACACTCATACACTACGGACAATATAGCCTACCTAATTCACCTGTACCGCATGTCTTTGGACTGTGGGGGAAACTGGAGCACCCGGAGGAAACCCACGCGAAGGCAGGGAGAACATGCAAACTCCACACAGAAACGCCAACTGAGCCGAGGTTCGAACCAGCGACCTTCTTGTTGTGAGGCGACAGTATACCTACTGCGCCACTGCCTAACCCCTTTATTATATTATATTATATTATATTATATTATATTATATTATATTATATTATATTATATTATATTATATTATATTATATTATATTATATTATATTATATTATATTATACATAGTTGAATGAAATGTTAAATAAATGTTATTTTAATATTATTTCATATTTATATAAAAAAGTAATTAACACATGCATTAGTTGGATTATTGCAACATATTGGATTATCAGATACTTCACTTTTTTAATCAACTTTTATTTATTTATTTATTTATTTATTTATTTATTACATGAAATGCAGAGACATGAATCTCATGTATATTTACTTCATTCTTGGTGTGTGCTGAAATTAAATATTTTGATTGAAAAGACTTCAGCAGTTACTGCCATGGCAATATCCTAGACTTTATGCTGGCATCT